GGTGTAGGTGCAAATCGCAACTCCATCGCTACACTGTCTTCCAACCGCGAAGGGGAAACTACGGTGGCCACAAAAAATGCAAAAGGCTCTATCTAGAGCCAGTGTTTGGTTTGTCCGTTCTGGGCTACTGTAGAAAAATGGCGACCCGCGGTGTCTTTAGTATAAACGGCTCAATTTCTAAGAAAAAAATCACAATGATTCCATATTCAGGTGATTAACACCTAATGAAAAACATAACCTATGAAATATATTCCATAGGTATGTTTCTGCCACATTTGTTCCAATTAGAGATGGATTACTAACTCAATGTTACACACTGGACTTTTAGGTTCAGTACTTGAGGAAATGTACTTCCACTACTGTCACGTGTTGACATATGATGAAAGTTTCATTCTTAGGTCACATGATTGCAACTCTATGACAACTGTGAGATTAAATCTTTACCACATTTGGCTAATTAGCTTACTACCTGAAGTTGTAACTTCGTTTTGCTTGCTATGGAGGCTACCATTAACTAATAAATTAGGTGATTACAGGTTATGTCCCATTCAACACATCCACTGAGTGGAAGAGTAGTTTGTGGGTAATCTGTCACTGTTATCATTGTTAACTGCACACGTGCTGTGTGAGAATGGAAAGCATGAGGGATAGCAATAGTAACTAGTAAAGAGCTAACCTGCATTTCTTTGGACTGGTAGAATGAAACCAAAGACCAGGAGGAATAGCAAGGATAAAAAGACATAATTGTGCAATGAAGTCACAAGGACACACACATTACACAAAACACACATGCTTGCTCAGAAAACATGTCACGCTCTTTTAAAAATCAAAAGCACTCCAGATGCCCTCGGAAAAGCAGCGCTGAGCAGACAAACACATTAGCAGGGGACACACTCATGTAGATTACTTTTTCACATAATGATGATTCAGCCTATAGGTATGTTAAATATGTACCTTTGCTTGTGTTTGCTAAAAAACCCACAATATGCAGGGTTCCAACATATCCTTAAAAACCCTCGTAATTTAGAGACTAGTTTTACAACATGGAAAAACCTGGAAATTGATTAAAATGACCAAATATTCTGGAAAAAATCTTAGGAAATTTAGTTTGAACCTTAACAACTATACTCTTAGTAAAATGCACAAAGACGTTAACTGCATGTGCAACAAACACTTTCTGCTGCTTAATTTGATCAGTTACTTATGGGCTATGGCCAAAGTCATGTATGTAATTAATAAAAGTAGGGTTAAATGTGTCAATAGAAGGTCTACCCGTAAATTATATGATGTTTTACTGTCAAGAAAACCTCTAAAAAATTATTTCTCAAAAGAGTGGGATGTATTAGATTATTAATCTATTACAAACAGCTAAGTTTTGCCAGTTTTTGTCCCTAGGTGAGTGAACATCCCTGCAGGCTCAGCAGCTTGTCCCTGTAAAACCACCAGAGAGAAGCTGGTTAAAGCAGCAAAATACTTGTATCGAACAAATTAGAATACGACAAATCATACTCTCTTGTTTCTGATAAAAACCCTGTCTCACCATCCTTGTTTTTAAAGCCTCTCAAATTTTTCCTCTTGCTTTTGTCTTGCTCAATGTTAAATGATGAATTTTTTTGATTTGTGGTCTGTCTCTGTGTTTGTAATGTTTTATTAATTTGCCCTTGCACACTGTGAGCAGCTGTGGATTATAGCTTCAGCCCCAGTCTGTTAGCCTGTATAAATCATGGTTATTTAATCAAATAAGAAGCAGCGGTTCTTCAGTTTCCAAGTCTGTGAATGCTGAGCATTGCTCTCCTCTAGGGTACGTTAGCTGCTGTAGTGAGTCTGCTGTATTTCTTTGTTGTTGCCTTGGCAAGCCTGCAGCAGCACTGCAGTGTTTCCCCGAGATTTTCTTTTCTGAGCTGGAAAAGTGGAATTTTCTTTAGCTGCGTTTTGTTCTGTTTATTAAAGCTGCAGTAGGTATCTTTTATCAATAAAATAATTAAAATATATATATACTTATTTACAACACATCACATCACAACACATCAGGGACGAGAAAGACAGTTGATTGTTGAACCTCTTTCCCAGGTCGTCAAATACCTACGCTGGGAATAGACTCGATAATCAACTATCTTCAAGCCTCCAACCCAAAAAGTCTGTCTATCTTTCTCGGCTCTGATTGGTTGTTTTTGTTCAGGCCCGGTGGATTCTTGTAAATACCCATTAAAGGAGCCACTAAAGGAGGAGCCCAGAGGAACCTAATGTTCACAGATTATCCTGTCGCTATGTTCTACTGTCCAGGAATTATGTGAAAGTTTCAGTGAATAGACAAAAAGTATTTTATAAAAGTTACCTACTGCAGTTTTTTTTTGTTGTTATATTTTTAACACAGGAAAAATAAGTACTATGTATGTGGCAGTGATCATTGCACTCTGCACTATTGCTTGAGATGTGCTGGTGATCTAGTAGTGATATATGTATCACTGGAAAAGGACAAGACAGGAGGGAAATGCTGTTTGTTTAGCCAGTCGCTAACTTTGTCTACCGTTTGCAGCTGGGCAGGTAGTTTACAGTTGCTTTTTAGAGTGTGAACCAAAAAAACAGAAAACCAGAACAGTAAGTTCAAAGATGCTTAAAACTAAAAGGAACAGCAGAGCTGGGTAATAATTCTATGTGTGGTCGGCACTTTCACATCATATATAATCCATTTTAGCCACTGTTATTCTTAAAAAAATTATAATAGTCAGTTTAAAGGTGCCAACTGCTAATGACGTTTTTCATCAGCTTCTGTGACAGCCAATTCCGCTATTTCACAATTAAATGATGCATACATACATACATATTACATATGAATTATGATATATGTTGTTTGAATCCTGTATAATTAGTACACACACAACCTGCCCGGACCTCCACTTCGAGCTCTGCCTTCCAGGAAACTGCTTATCACGGTCACGTTATACAGGATTCCGGCTCCAGACCCTTGGTCTATTTTGAAAATGTCCTGAGATAGACTTCCTGTTATGAATTGCGGCTATTACCCAAATAAAAATTGAATTGAATTGAATTGAACTCACCACATCGTAGTGGCCGTGCTGCGCTGCCAGGTGGAGAGGAATCTGCCCTTCATCTGATTGGCCATTGACAGATGAACCAGATTTCAGCAGCATCTTCATAGGCTCCGCCTTCCCCTGCCAGGCTGCGTAGTGCAGCGGCCGCATACCTGCGCACAGAAACACACACACGTGCACAGGGTGAACACAAAGGGCAGATCTATCACACACTGAGAAATACTGTACGATTATTGATCAGTATTTCTGTGAAAGAGGGTGGCACATTTGCTTCAGCTTTTTGTGGGTGTATGCATGTTTTTCTTTCTGTTCACGTGTGTGCAGATCTCCCGCTCACCCTTCTGGTCTCTGATGTCGACAGCAGCCTGTGACTCAAGCAGTAGAGTGATGAGCTCCAGGTTCCCATTGAGTGCCGCATGATGAAGCGGAGAAAACCTAACACACACACACACACACACACACACACACACACACACGAGTCAGTCATAATAGCAATGCTTAGCATGACAAATAGACTTAATAGCAGAGGATTAGGACCAAACAGGGGCGGCTGGAGATGAAAAAATATGCACATGGGGAAATGTATTATTATGTAAAGGATACAGTGTCTCTCTCTCTCTCTCTCTCTCTGTGTGTGTAGATGAGATTGATATTTCAGCCTTGATGGATAAGCATGAGAGAAGGAGGAGAAAGCAACACATAACCCGGACAAACACCTTCTGTATCTCTCATGTCAACAGTGACGAGTCTCCGACTTTGAAGTGACAACCCATGAAACTAGTGTGGGGAGTTCACATAAACTGTCAAAAACCCAATAAACGGGGCTGTTATCAATGTTTGGAAGTAATGACAGAGGAGAGATTATATATTGAAGAGATAAAAATGACATCATGTTTGTTTGATTAGAGCTCCTCCTAGTGTTCCTAATGGTATTTGCAAGAAT